AGTTTACTCAAAGTATACAATGCAAGAGTTTTTAGTATATTCACAGATATAAGTAACTATCACCATGGTATATTTTTAGCACCCTAAAAGAAACACTGTACCCTTTGGCTATCACTCTCTATCCTGCTTCCTTCTCCACCACCTTAAGAAATCACTAATCTACTTTCTGTGTTCATGAATTGTCCTATCTGGACTTTCACATGAATGGCCTCATATAACATGTGGTCTTTTGTGACTAACTTCTTTCACATAGCATAAATTTTCATGGTTTTTACCACTTGTAGCATGTATCAGTACCTCATGTCATTTTATGGCTGAATGATATTCCACTATATGAATTACGCCTGATTTTGTTTCCTTAGTTGATGGACATTTGGATTATTTCTATCTTTTGGTAGAATATTATATTCAATGAACATATTTCTGTCCTTAAGTTTTTAATGTTTGTAGTATTTGACATTATTAACCACTTTTCCCTTCTCGAAAATTTTACATCCTGTGCTTCTACAAGACTGTCCTATTTTAATCTTTCTCCTGCCTCTTTGAGCCTTCTTTTCTGCCTCTGATTTCTTTACTTATATATATTTCCATAGGTAAATAACTACAGTTATGACAAAGTCTAAAGCAATTCAGTATCTCTAGCTTCTTTTTATATAAGCCAAGGACCTCAATAGTCTTTAGCCAAATGCAATGAATGTCTCTTCTTTGTCATAAATGTCCAGAGCTTTTTTTAATTTGCTTTTATTTAAACACTCACATACAAACAAAAGATCATTTTCATAAGTAAAGTTCTGGACATGTTATAAATTTCTGTGATTACTGTTATTTCTCCTATACCTCGCCTTTCTATTGGACTTACTGGTATTACAGAGGCATATGCTATGAAAATATTTTTTAAAAAATTTTTATTCTAAAGAATAGGTAAGGGAGGGAGAAAGAGAGGTGGAGAAACAGCGATGTGAGAAATATCACATCACATTGGTTGCCTTCCGTATATACCCCAACAGAGTCCAAATCTGCAACTCTGGTATGTGCCCAGGAATAGAACCAGCGACGCTTTGCTTTGCAGATGATCTGAGCCATACCGTCCAGGGCATGATAATATTTTAATGACAGTGTATAAATGGCACACTCCCTTCAGTCTTTGTATGTCTGAAATATCTCCATTCACCCATCATTGTTGAGATTCAGTTTAATAGCTACATCTAGGTTATTTTCTTTTTCATTTGGAATATATTGTTCCATTCTCTTCTAAATTTTCTTTGAGATATTTGGAATTGCCCATTATAAGATCGGTTCTGTCAGATACCCCAAGTCATACAGGCAAACATCCCAACAGAAACCCATCAAAAGATGAAAATAGTACATCTGGGGCACCAAGCATGAGCAGGATCAGAGAATATATAAGCAAGCTGCATGCGCAGGTAACCCAGAGTCCCATGACACCCAACCAAGGTTACACTAGAGCACTATTCTCAGCTCACACCAGTAGTTATATGGGGGTTCCTGTATGATCAGCTAAAAGAGGGGGAAACCCCTGAGCTTTTATGATAGGTTTATGAATGGGTTAGCTGGATAAGTAGGTTCCAGTTGGAAATGGAAGGCAGCTGCATGACAAAATCACTCAGAGTTTTCTTGAATGACCATGGAGAGCAAAATTTTCTCAAAGGGCAAAGCTCTGAGCTGTGCACCTAATGATTCACTTTGTGGGGAGCTCTATAAATTCCTTTAGGCTGAAAGCGATACAAGAGAGGTTTGAATTCTCCCCTATTATCCACTATTTTCAGTAAATATTCTTAATTTTAAGATAAAACTGAGTCAAGTTACTTACGAAATAAAGGGGGACAGATTTTATGATAGGGATACAAACATTTTTTTAGAACTATAGGTCAGAATGGAAGCAGGCCTAAGGAAAATTCCAGAAACAGAGGTTGGAATTACCTCTGGACTCTTCTTCTGACTCATCTCTGTTCCTCTCTGGATGTATGATTTCCAGTCTCTCTCATTGTCCCTCCTTTTCTCTAAACACTGACATTTTCTTCTTCTCTACTAGAAATGGTTTATGAAAAATTGACAATCCATATCACTCAAGGTTTTATGTGTATATATGAATGTATGCCATGGTATGATATCTAAGAGACTGAGTTTTTAAAATTTGATGTAAATATGGATTTCCATGCTAAAAATAAAAACGAAAACCCCTAATTGGCCCAACTTGAATCAGGTGCCTTTTCTGAGTCCAATCCAATTATATAAAATAGTTATCTTACTCAGAATGGTTGCGAGAGGATCAGCCTTGCCTTTGACAGAGAACTAGGTCACTGTGACCTGAACAAATAGATATACTCTGTCATACTCATTCATTCTCCCTGTTGTCCAGGCTGAAAACTTCAAAGTCAGCTATGGCTTTTCCTGCTTTTATTTGCTATAGTTATGTCACCAAGAACTATTCCATTCTTCTTTCAAAATTACTTTTAGCTAATTATATCTCCATTTCCACTGCCTTTATTGTGGGATAACTCAGAAAAAGGATATTTCATTATAGTTAACTCTGCATTCTTTAACTACTGGTGAGGATAAACTTTTTTTCCCATATTACAGACCATTAGTGTATCTGCTTAAGTGGTTTGTATTATGGACTCAATTGTGTCCTCCAGCCCCCAAATTCATATGTTGAATTGCTAACCCCAATGACTGTACTCAGAGACGGGGACTTTCAAGAGGAAATTAAAGTTAAATGAGCTCATAAGGGTGGAGCTCTGATACAATGACACTGGTGGTCATATAAAAAGAAGAAATACCAGGAATGCTTGCATATATAAGAAAGGCCATGTGAAGATGTTTTCTTCATGAAACTGTTTTATGAAAATCAAGAAAAAAAGACCTCAGAAGACACCAAACCTATCAACACCTTGATCTTAGATTTCTGGCCTCCAGAACTATGAGAAAATAATTTCTGATAAGCCATCTAGTCTGTGGGATTTTGTCATGGTAGCCCTAGCTAACAGTTTGACTCCATTATCTATTTTATTTTCTTCTGGTAACAGTTCTCTAAACATTAGGCTATTAGCCTTTTGTATGCAATAAATACAGTGGTACTTTGGTAGTTGTCATCAATTCATTCCAGAACTTGTGATGAGTGCCAAAACCAAGTACGTAGCAATGAAGCATTTTCTCTTGCAGGGCACCTAGTGGCTCATACAAGTTCTAGCAAGTGAGACAAAGTCCCCAAGCAAGCGCCATGTGCTGAAAGGTTTTTTTCCTCATCAAAATGTGACATGTACTGGGCTTGACGAGTTCTGAAAACAAGTACTGAGATATGACTTTATTTAATTTACAAATATTTTTAATTTACAATTATTCCCAATTTATTTGTCCCTCGCCTTTTTGTTTTGTTTTCGTATACCGAAAATTTTTTTTAGGAGTGAAAATTTTCATACCTTTCTTTACCGTTGAAGCATTTGAAACTGTGCTTAGAAAATCCTTTCCATTTCCAGAATTACAAGTATATGTATATTCACCTGTATTTTATTCCAATTCTTTTTTGTCTCCTTTGAATTTTCAGTATGATGCAATATAGAGCAATTCTTTTTTTTCATATAGCTAATCAATGATCCCTGTACCACTTATTAATTTTCCCATATATTTGAAATTTATTTCATAAATACTAATATGCACTTAAAGCTCCTGCTGCTTTTTACTCATGACAGTCATTCATTCAATAATTCACCTTGAAGATTATTGTACACTTATCATTAGTAAAAATGAATTTTCGAGCAATTCAAGAACCATTATTTTGATTATCTCAAGTTATTAAAAGTATGGAGAAAAGCTATTTGTTTTTAAATTAAAATACTATCATAGAGTGTTTTTAGGTAATGATATACATCAAAAGAAATATAGAGAAAATTAACCCACTGATAAGCCAATGAAGAAAGGGAGAGAGTACCATCTAATTTAGTTGAATTCTTACTAGAAAAGAAAAATGATAGAGGAGAAAATACTTGAGGACAGGCAGTTGGCTTTTTCAGGCTCTTTTCGAAAAAATAGTAGTCCTTTTTAAAAAAATTATTCAAAATTTCTTTTCTTTTTTTTTGTCCCCCTTTATGGAACAAGAGGACTAGATGTTTTCACATACATAGTGGTAGAAGGAAACATACTTAATGGGGGTCAGTGGCTTGAAGAAAGGACCAATGCCTTTCTTCATTTTTCTACCAAGAAAAGGGAAGAGACAAGATCTATGTTGTCCAGCAATGTTCAGGTTGAGTGTACTTTTGATACCGCTTAACTCTCCAGTCCATATTCAAGGTCAGAACAATTCCAGGGACTTTAGAAAAAAATTGAGACTTGAAAATCCTGCCAAAAGTTTAGCTACTAATACTGGAACTATTTAACAGTTTCTCTCAGCTTTCCATTTGCAAGCACTTTAGAAGCACATTGCAAATGTGAATGTATTATCAACGTAGCATGAGCCGATGGAAATGTGATTCGAGTACTCAAACTCCCAAAATCAAACTGGCAAAAAGGAGTTCATCTCAACAGAAAAAACTCTTGCGAACCAGGGCTCGGTTGCGCGTTAAGGTGTGCTCAGACGGAATGGAATTGTCAGAGAAAACAGGGCTGAAAAACATTACGGACTCCCGTGGGAAAAATATTGTATGTATAAAAGCAATCCCGCTGCCCCACCTGACATCTCAGGAACGTCTCCCGAGGTATACAGAACGAGAAACAAATAAAGACGGTGGGCGTAGAAACAAAGAGCTCACTGAGGGGCAGGCCACAGATAAACCTTACTAAATTTTTGAGGGCAGTAAGGTGAAGACGTTAAAAAGTGTAACAACCCGTTCAGACAACACGGTATTAAAAAAGATGTGTGTAGCAAAAACCTGCACCACAAAGCGGACTTCCCGCCCACTCTCTGTAAGTTCCGGGACCTCCAAGTCCATCCCAGCATCCTTTGCGCCGCTCAGGAGAAAGCCCCAGAGCGCTTTGACCCCTTCGGCCGCCGTCAGCTCTGAGTTGTTATGGTAACCAAGCTGCCATCACTATGTCTTTGGAAAAGACCTCTCGGTCTCGGGTGTTCGTGGAACTGGTTCCCTGGGCTGACCGAAGCCAGGAGAACAACTTGGTGTCGGGCGGAGAAACGCTGCCGGGTCTCCGCCGTCCTCTCTCAGCACAGGGCCAAACTTTGACCCGAGAGGTGCACGTTAGCGGTACCGCGGAGGTGTCTGCGAGCCCCGACCGGGCTCAGGTAGCGGTGCTGGTGAGCAGCACCAAGGAGGCGGCGGCCGAGGCCAAGAAGAGCGTTTGCCGCCGTTTGGACTACATCACGCAGAGCCTCCAGCAGCAGGGTCTGCAGGTGAGAGCTCTGCGCGAGAGGCGCCTGGAGCCAAATCGCAAAAATCGGGTGGCAGAGAGTCTGGCCATCACGGCTCGTGGAGCAGGGGTGGAGCTGTGGAGGGTCTGGAGCACCTGAGACACTTTTGGCTCAACGGTGTTACATAGTGCCAGGATCTGGCGGAATAAATTCTTGGCCTATCCTTCTTCTAGATGACAGTTATTATTGGCCGCAGTGACTTGTAAAATAAGAGAATGCAAATTGAATAGGGTTTTATATGGCGATATTTGCTGCAATAATTGTGTTTTTAGCCCTGAAATGATGAATTGTTAAACTTGAAACCTTAATCAGTAGTGTCCAACCTGCGGCCCTCTGGCCGCGTACGGCTCAGGATGGCTATGAATGAAGCCCAACAAAAAAAATCATAAATTTACTTAAAACATTATGAGGTTTTGTGTGTGTGTGTGTGTGTGTGTATGCTTATGTGTCTCGATGTAATTAATGTGTGGCCCAAGATCACTCTTCTTCCAGTGTGACCCAGAGGTGCCAAAAAGTTGGACAGCTCTGCTAGATGTAAATGCTTTCCTAAGTGTGCTGTACACTAATCACTTTTTGCTGTGATGCTACATCATGGATCTGGCAGGTGAAAAGCATGGCCAGGTTCCTCCCAGTCATGTAAAGCTTCCCATGGAAGAGTTCTTAAGAAATTTTTGCAAACAATAATGGGGGCAGGGGAGGGATTAAAGACTTAAAATTTTTCTCCAAATTTTTTAGTTCTAAGTTTAAAAAAATTAAGTCATTCTATTGTAGACGCCACATATATAAATACCTTTAATTACCAAATATGTCCATGAAACAAATCAGTATATAAATCTAACTTTAAGCCTACTTCAAAGAAAAGAATTTTTAAAAAATGAACCAGCTTTATTTCATCCATGCAACGGTCCTGTTAGGCAGGTTTTATTATTCTCATTTTCCAGGTTTAAAAAGATTAAGTAATAAATAATGCTCTGAACTTTAAAATAAAGGTTGCTTCCAATTATGCCAGGCTCCAGATAATTAGAATGAAAGAAAATCAGAAGCCATAGAATGGGTCAACTATCTCAATTCTTTCATTTTACAGAGTAGGACTCCAAAGGCCAGAGTTGTGATTTATTCAGGGTAACACTGAACTTATAAAAGTTCTTCCGGTTTATTGTTAGAAATGACACCCCCCCCCCAAAATTCAAGTTTTTAAGGACAAAATATATTTGTACTGCATTTACAATTATTTTTAAAATCATTTGGAAAAGATGTCTCTAAATGATTTTACAGTTTAGAAGAACTGAAATGCTAATTAAAATAATATAAATAAAGTGAGTTTAATAGTAGAAAAATACTTCCTCAGAAAAACTGCTGCCAGTGCTGCAGTCCTATTTCAGTAATATTACTAATTCTTAAGGTACTTATGTAAAATTAATACTACTCTCGCATGACTGTAACTTCTAATATGTAAAACAAAATAAATTACTATGTCCAGGTTACAGTTAAAATTATATTAAGATTCAGCGTTCAAGGCAAGAGATACAAAAGTTAGTAATCTTCCAATTATATCTGCTAATGGAGGAAAGTAGTCATGTAGATAATTGGTTCAATAGATAATGCAAAAAATCATTTATATTACTTGGCAGGATAAATTATAATGAGGTTTTCACAAAGTCTTTAGTCATGTTTTTAAAAGATTTTATTTATTTATTTCTAAAGAGAGGGGAGGGAAGGAGAGAAACATTGATCTGTTACCTCTCGCAGGCCCCCAACTGGGAACCCGACCCACAACCCTGTCATGTGCCCTGACGGGAATCAAACCAGCAACCTTTGGTTTGCAGACTGACGCTCAACCCACTGAGCCACGCCAGCCAGGGCTCTTCATTCACTTTAGACTTTGGAAACTTAGGTTTATATTCATCATTCCCCTGTTCAAAGAGCTCCACTTATTCCAAACTCCTTTGCTTTATAGACGGAGCTTAACACTTAACATTTCCTGTCATCTCTCACTTGGTTGACTGGATGAATGCCATTTTTTTTTTTCCTCTAAGAACTAGCACAAGTTCACCTCCTTGGCATTCCTTTCCTATGTAACACTAGTCCCTGTCATGCCACATTCCACTCCCCACTGGTACTAAAATACTGTATTATATTTATTCCTTTTGCTTGTCACTCTTCCATATTCTAAACCTCTCTAGAGAAGATACAATTTTGTCTCTTATTTGCTTTTGCATTCATAGGTTATGCTTCATATATAGCACATAGTGTATACTTAGAAAATAGTTTCTGAATGAATAAAAAATTGAAGCAAGCACTAAATAATTATTTCAACAATATTATAGATTATATATATAGATTTATGATCACATGTAGTTTCACATGTGAAGGCATAACCCTCATTTTTAGTGCTTTTATAGAAAAATGTTTTCAAGTTCTAAGCTGTATTTACTCATTCAACCATCAAGTATTTGTTAGGCATTCCCTATCACTATTTATTTTTAAATAGTACTTAGTGTAGTTTGGAATTATTATGTTTTCTGGTTTGTACATTACTGTCATAGGCTGTAAGTTCTAATGTTTGCCTACTTATAACTGTATATTTTTTGATAAACATGTAAATGAGTAAAATTTAGGTATTGCATTGAAGGAGTTTCATGATAGGAATAGATTAATATATAGTAGGTATTGTGATGAAAGTATGTACATGATACATTATAGTAGAGTAAGAAAAGGAAATAATGTTCATTTTACTTGAGGAATTCCAGAAACATTTCATAATGGAAGTGACACATGTCAAATCTTAAACAGTGGCTGAGGGAAATTTCACAGTAGAATGCAGCAACTGTATGTATTCAGAGCACTAGACACAGTTTCCTATGGCTAGGGCACAGGAGTACTTAGAGAAAATGAGGGGATTCTAGATAAGACTGAAGAAGAAAGCTGAACTCAGAACATGAAGGAAGGCCTTGTGTGCAATACTGAGGAGTTTGGATATTACTGATAATAAAAACTGCTTACTATTGCTAGACCTTTTACAAATGTTATCTCATGTGATACTCCCACCATATGAGTCTGGTAGTTCAGTTGCTGTTTTACAGATGAGAACTCTCAGGACCACAGTGATTATGGTCACACGGCTAGAAAGTGGCCGAAGTTAGACTCCAGTCAGGAACTTTGACCATAAAGCCCATGCTGTTAACCGCTAGAATATATTGCTGCTTTAACATCTTGTCAGTGGATGGGTAGGCTGAGGGCAAGGATGTAGTAGATGCTATTGATACTTCACACTTGTATCCTTTGCCATTTACATTTTTATGCATACAGGTCCAATGTCCATCTGCCAAAGCTTCTGAATTTTTTGCCAGCTTTTCCAGGCTGCAGGAATCCACTCTGCTTATAAGTGGACGAGCTGGTAGTGCCAGAGAATTAACAACCCCTCCTCCAGTTCCTGGGGCTTTCAACTAACAGCTGAGAAGACTGAAAAAAGGAGACCCCAGATGTCTCACCCATTGGGCAGAATAATCCTGAGACGTGTTCTACCCAGATTCCCAGAGTTTATCTTTATGAATAAGTTCCTGTGGCCCACAGTGATGACTGTTCAACAACATACCCTTTAATGGCTTTCTTTCCTTCTCTGTTTCATTTCTCACTCCCCTATGATATTTCTTGAGATTATCTTTAAAATTCACTGCCTATACTTAAAATCCTTGTCTCAAGAGTCTGTTTCTGGCTACACCCAAATTAATGTAGGGAATTAGTAGGAACAGACTGAAAATCTCATGAGTTGACTTCAGTTTTTAATTACTAAAAATGGTGACGGAACGAATATCCTTGCTGCTAGGTAGTTATACATGTTCTTTGGACATTAATTCCTGGCTTGTGCAAACTTTTAAGGACGAGGAAAAAAATTACATTTTAGGGATATAAGTTTACATCTTCACTAGATATATATCCTTGGCACAATGTGCATTATTTTCTTCTTTAACTTTGTACATGCAGTAGTCAAAAAAAAAATGTTACTTTTTTCCTGTTTTATTGTTTTTTAACATTTGATGTTAAACTTTTTTCATGTAAATTGCCAGTTCATAATACTTTCCCCATTTTTCTATTGTCTTTTATTAATTTATGAAAACTTCAAAAATTATTATCAATAACCCTATGTCTCTCATATATTATAAAATTTTTCTAAATATCATATTTGCCCTATAACTTTGTTTACAGTATTGAACATTCAAAATGTTAAAGATTTATTTAGTCAAATTTATTAATAATTTCCATATGTTTTCTGCTTTAGATATAATACCTATTGGGTCCTTCTCAAGCCTAAAACTATATAAACATTAACTAATATTTCCTGGATTCCTTAGGGTCCCTTAATAGTACATCATATATTTGCTGTTTTTGGAGTTTATTTTGGTATAAGGAAAAAGGTTTTGTTTTCTCCTAGATGGGTAAGTCGCTATACTGAAATAATTTATTGCAATCTATGTTTCCCTTTCTGTGTGTGCAAAAACCTAACTCAGACAGCCTTTAAAAATAAAAATTATTGCTTTACATAATCTTATATTAAAGTTGTAATATGGGTTTCAGGTATGCCATAGTCAAGACTCTATTTTGATGCATTTCTCTTGGCTTTTTATCTGCAGCTTTCTGCATGATAAACCCAAAATGGCTACAACATTCCCAAGCCTTATAGAATATATTGTACCATAAAGAGAAAGACAATAATTTTTGTTTCCAGCAGCTACATAAAAATAATTCCTATAGTTAACTCTAAATGGACAATCTAAACTTATCTTTGTGGATAGAGAAATGCCATATACTAATTAGCTTAGATTTGAATCTCTACCCACTTTTTAACCTAATCCTTTGGCAAGCTAGATGTGATAATCCTGAATGCTTTAGACCTATGTGGCTTACTTTAGGTCTAAAGTAAGGTAATGGAAAGACCTATGTGCTTACTTTGAAGCACATAGTAGCTGTTCAGAGAGAATAGG